GGCTGTGGGGCTGTGGTAGAACTCTCATGACCTTGTCCTGGGGGAGGCCCTGGAGCAAGATGGGCAGCTCAGCTTGGCTCCTCCATATGGGAGGCGGGAAGTGGCTCTTTAGGAATAGGAGAGACTCCCTAAATTAGCTAATACTTGTTGTTGTTGTTAAGTGCTGTCAAGTTGGATTTGACTCACAGCAACCCCGTGTAGGGTTTCTGAGGCAATAAATCTTAATAGGAGCAGAAAGTCGTTGGTAAACTGTAGACTTTCGGTTAGTAGGCCTGTTGTTAGGTTCTGTGGTGTTAGTACCGACTCATAGTGACGTTATGCACAACAGAACGAAACACTGCCTGGTCCTGTACCCATTGCTGTTGCCACTGTGCCGATCCTTCTTGTTGCAGGGGCGTGTGGGGGGGAGGTCTTCCTCTTTTTCACAGACCCTCCACTTTACCAAGCAAGATGTCCTTCTCCAGGGACTGGCCCATCCTGATAATATGTCCGAAATATGAGAGATGAAGTCTGACCATCCCGGCTTCTAAAGAGCATTCTGGTTGTACTTCTTCCAACACAAGATTGGTTTGTTCTTTTGGCAGTCCATGGTACTTTTAATATTCTCCTCCAACACCATCACTCAAATAACTCTTCTTTATAAATCGTAAGGCACACCTTAGTCCTCAAACTGACATCTTTGCCCTTGAACACTTTAAAGAGGTCTTAGGCAGCACATTTGCCTAATGCAATTCGTTGTTTGATTTCTTGACTGTTGCTTCCATGTTGTTGGTTGATCCGAGCAAAAAAGTCTTAGACAACTTCACTCTTTTCTTCATTTATCTTGATATTTATTGGTCCAGTGGTGAGGATTTTTGTTTTCTTTACATTGAGGTGCAACCCATACTGAAGGTTGTGATCTTTGGTCTTCATCAGTAAGTGTTTTAAGACCTCTTACTTTCAGCAGGAGTCCTGGTGTGGCGCTGTGAGTTAATGCACCAGAGCTGCAAGGTCGGCGGTTCAATCTCACCAGCTGCTCCTTGGAAACCTTATACAGGGTCGCTATGGGTTGGAATCGACTCGACGGCACTTAGCAACAACAACTTTCAGCAAGCAAGGTTGTATCATCTTCGTATCGCAGGTTAATGAGTCTTCCTCCAATCCTGATGCCATGTTCTTTTTCATAGAACCCAGCTTCTCAGATTATTTGCTCAGCATACAGACTGAACAAGTCTGCAGCCTTCCTGGAACACAAATACCACAAGAAAGTGGCTTTGAAGAACAGATTTATTTTCTCACAGCTCTGGAGACCAAAAGTCTAAGTTGGGAGTTTCTGGTGACTGCCAGTCATCCGTGGCATTCCTTAGCTGCTTATAGATCCATCTGTGGCGTCTTTTACTGCGCATGTGGGGGGGCTATTCTGCTCTTATGACTCCACTGGCAAGGGATTTGGTTTAGGACCCACCCTACTCTGGCATTGACTCATGAGCATAGCAAAAGAAACCCTTATTCCCAAACAGGATCATATACAGATGAAGGGGTTAGGGCTAAAACATAGCTTTTGGTGGGGAGGGGACACAATTCAATCTCTTAACACTGCGTGTTGAATGTTTCTGTTAGAAGCCCCAGGAGAACTCAACCCCAGGCCTTAAGCGCCCTCCCCCCGTCCAGGTCTTCCAGATTCCGTAAGCTGAATAAGATGCCCTGGCCCAGCTGCTTGTGACAGGGTCCTACCGCCAGGGCTGCTAACACCTGTTCTCAGTCACACTGGCACAACCTTTGGTGCTGCTTTTGCTTCCTGCAGCCCCTCCATAGTTCCGTGCTTATTTGTTGAATTTGGCATAATAGACTAAGATGATGATTTACAACCCAAATCTTTTGTAGGAATTACTTCTGGCACCGGGTTTTGAAGTTTGCAGCCGTTATTATTAGACTTTGTCACTGTGTCTCTTTCAAAGCTTTCCACTCATCTTTATATAGACACTGTCTCCATTTTTGAGTTTTTAATGTAGACTCCTCTCTTGGCTGGTGTGTTAGAGATTATTTCTATAGAAAAATTGCATGAGGAAGGGTTCTCACAGTGTAAAAACTGAGAGCTAGTGTGATGTAGACAGGGGCAGAGGATGCTAGGGGGATTGGAGAGGAGCCAGGAGCAGCATTGGGGAGCTGGGAACGGTACCTCCCAGGTGAGGAGGTCAGACTGCAGCCCTGTGTGCCCCTGGAAGGCCCAGGGAACCTTCTGCTATGTCTGTTCTCAGTTCTCAGAGGGTCATTTGTCTAACCTCAGGGTTTACACCCGAGTGGTTGGGTGTGAGGGCTTGACCCGTCAGGGACCCAGGGAAGTCCCAACTAGTTGGTGATAGAGCTGGGCCTCCAGCTTGGGCCTGGGCTTTCTCTGCGCTTCCCACTATCCAACGTTTAAAACTGCTCCTCTGTCAGCTGTTGGTTACACTTCGGGTTCTTGCCAGAGCTTGAGATTGTGGCCTGTCCTCCAGGTCCTTTGTTACACGGAGACTTGGGGACCCTGTTGTTGTTGTTGTTGAGTGTTGCCACAGTGACCCGGTATAGGGTTTCTGATCGAAAGCCTCATCTTTCTCCCACAGAGTGGCTGGTGGGCTCAAACTACCAACCTTGTCCTACAACGCCATCAAACTCCCTCAGGAACCCTGAGGATGGTATTTACCAGCCCATCAGCAGGTGGCAGCACTGAGGGGGATGTCACTTGGGGGCTGTTGGGGAGACAGATAGGCTGGTCCTCCCCAGAACATGTTCTGAGGCGATCCTGACAGGACAGTCATGGAAATAAATAAGTGATAAAGCCAGCATTATACACGGCTGCAAGGACCTCGGCTGGTGCGGTGGGTTAAGCATAGGACAGCTAGCTGCAGGATGATACAGCTGCTCTGTGGGAGAAAGATGGGGTGCTTAGCTCCGGTAACGATTTACACTTTCAGAACCCTTGTGGAGCACTTCTCTGTCCAGTGGAGTTGGCTATGAGTCAGAGTCGATGGCTGTGGGTTTGGGCTTTAAGGGTATTTTTTGATACTTGGCTGGATGCTGTCCTTGGTACTTATGTCCAGAGATGGTGTCTAGTGCTGTTCTAACAGATAGTTATACCCCACATTGCTGTTGTTGTTCAAGTACCATTGAGTTGGTTCCAACTCATAGCAACCCTGTGAAGGGTTTCTTGAGCGGCTGGTGGATTTGAACCAATGATCTTGTGGCTTAGACTGTCCTGTGGTCCAGTGCATTATCCTGCAGCATAGATAGTTTTAACAACCAGAATTTATTCTATCAGAGTTAGTTGGTGGTGGTGGTGTCATTGAGTCAGTTCCGACTCCTAGCGACCCTGTATAGGGTTTCTGAGGAGCAGCTCCTAGGTTGGAATTGCTGACCTCGTGGTTTACAGTCCAGTGCTGATCCTACAGCACCACATCAGAAGAGTAAATGTCCAAATTCAGGTACCAGCTCTAAGGGAAGCCCCTTTCAACAACTGTGCGCTGGTGTTTCTTGGAGATCTGCATGTAACTTGCTTGCTCTTCCCTTGGGTCTGGGAGCTTCTCGGCACAGGACACTTGCTCCACTCCCAGCTCTTCTTGCTTGGTACTAACAAGGTCCTGCCTCTCTGCTCAATTTTCTCTCCTTTTCCCTCTTATGAGATAGAAGGTGATTCAGGCCACACCCCAGGAGAAATCCCCTCATAGCAGAGCAGGGATCTGACCTGAATAAGGGTCTTACAAACCACCCTGTTCCCCTGATAACTGATTGGTTGATCACATCAGATCACATCATGAGGAATGATGATATCATTATACAACTATCAAAGTACATCATTACATAACTGCCAAACCTGGAAAATCCCGACCCAGCCAGGTCGATACAGTTAATCCATGACAGGGAGTCTTAGGGTAGATGTGTGGGCACATGACCGAACTGTGCGTCATAGAACAACAAAGGTGTGTCAGAGGGGAGGAGCGTCTGAGTGGAGAAGGGGGCAGGCTGATCTTTTGAGCTGAGTTAAAGATGAGCAGTTTGAAGGGGCACAGGATGGGGAGGAATATATTCGCCAAGACATGGCAGCTGCTTGCTGAGTGGGGAAACTGGCACAAAATTGCAAAGAAAAGGCCCTTTGAGGAGATAGCTTGAGCAATAAAGCAAATCATTGTTATTATTGATGTTAAATACTGTTGAGTTGGTCCCAACACATAGCGACCCTGTATAGGGTTTTCACAGAGCAGTTGGTGAGTTTGAACCGTCGACCTTGTGGTTTAGCCCAACTTCACGGTCCAGTACTTTAACTTACAGTGCCACACAGGACTCCTCATAAAGTGTTCATATTCAGCAGGTGTTTACTGAACAGTTAGCACACCTTCATCACTGTTCCAAATGCTGGGACCCCTAGTGAACAGAACAGTTTCTGCCTTTGGGGAGCTTGCCTTTCAGTATGGGGCTGAGGTGGGGCAGGGACATAATTAACAGAGGCTTGAGTAAAAGTACAGTTACAAGAAGTCTGATGAGGACACTCTGGGAAAAAAAGAAACAAGGTGAAGGTCTTAAGCAAGGGCAGACACCACAGGAAATGCAGCTACAAAGCCACACGGTCAGGCAGAGAGCCGGTCAGTCCACAGGCCCTGTGGTGGGAGCAGGCGTGGCATGTTCAAGGGGCATCAAGGAGGCCAGTGTGGCTGGAGCGGGCAAAAGATGTGGTGGACATGGTTGGATCAGATCAGAGAGTCTGGAAGGGCAGTTGGGCAAGGTCTCCTGGGCCTCTTTGGAAGACCCTCCGCTTTTACTGTCAACGTGATAATAGCTGTCGGAGAGTTTTGAGAAGCGGGAGGACGCGATCTGGCTAGCGTCGTATGAGGATCATGAGGCTGCTGGGATAGCAGGGGCAAGGGGACAGGTGGCCGTGGCTGGGTCCTGAGTGATGGATACAGGGACCTGGGAGAGTCTTACCCAGGGAGGGACTAACGACATACTCTCCTACTCTCCTCTCTAGACTGACTCATCCGGGCCTCCAAGGGTGCCTCTCAGAAGGTCACCTGCTGCAGGGACCATGACGGTGAGCGGGGCCGTGCTGGCCCCCGATCCAGCCTCGCCCACGACTGCAGCGGCTTCGCCCAGCGTCTCCGCCATCCCTGAGGGCAGCCCCACAGCCATGGAGCAGCCTGTGTTCCTGATGACCAGTGCTGCACAGGCCATCTCTGGCTTCTTCGTGTGGACAGCCCTGCTCATCACCTGCCACCAGGTACTCAGGCATCAGGGGCCCCCTAGAAGGACTGTGGAGGAGATTGTTAATCCCACAAAGTGTTAGTTAGGTGAGGCTCAGCTGTAGTAATAAGTAAACCTCACAGTCTCAGGAGAGGTTGATTCCTTGCTTCCATCCCAGCTCAGCGCAGCTCGGCTGATGTTGGGTCTCCCACTCCTTATCCCAACGTCATCCTCTGACAGTGGGTGGGGCTGTGGGGAAGACACGCTGGATAGTTAACCACTTTGATCCAGAAAGGACACGCGTGGTCACGTCTTCCAGTGGCCGACGCTAATCACATGGCTTGCCAGAGCTGCAAGGGATACTGGGAACTGTACAAGAGCATATGGTACCAGTGACACTTTTGCAGAGGAGAAAATTGAGGCCAGAGAGGGCGAAGGGAGAAGGAATGTGTCTGGTCACGTGTAAGTCGGTAGCTGAGCTGGGACAGATTTTCTCCCATCACCCGCTCCCAGGGGAGGCTGTGGGCAGTTGAGTCTCGCTTTGCTGAGAAAGGAAAAGGGTGGATTGGTGTTCAGTGATGGAACCAGGGTGGGCCTGCGCAGGGCCCCCTGTAAGTTCAGCTGCCTCCCGTTTCCCATCCTTTGGAGAACACTTGCTTCCCGGGTGACCAGATAGTAGCAGATGGGGAATATTCTGTGCCCTCCTTCCTAGCTCAGGCTGAGCGTGCGTGCGCAGTTCCTGGCACTTTTGCATAGGTTGCATGCCCCTGCTTTGGTTCTCACGGCTCCCCATCACTGCCTCGGTGACAGGTGCGGACACCCTGGCAGGTACCCCATGGCCAAGAAGAGCTTCCATGGCCCACCTGTCTCTGTCCTGGAGATCACCCATGTGTTTGCTCCATGGAGTTGCTGGGGAGCCCCACAATCAGGCTTGCAGGAAGGCAGAGTGGGGAGGGGGAGGCACCTGCCTCCCACACAGCTGTGTATCTATGCCCTCTCAGCAGCTTGGCCAGCTGTCCGATGTTCCCTGTCCTTGCACTTGAAGGTCCGACTTTAGAAAGCCCGGGGTGTGATGTTGGGGCCCACCACCACCATGCACTGTTTGGGGCTGTGTGCACGCCCTCTGGGCTGGTTCCCCAATGGGAGCCCCGCCATCTGCTCTGTACAGAGGGGGATTGGAGTCATTGTGTGTACAGAATAAATGGCAGAACCAGAAGTCACAGCATGATCCCCTTTCTCTGTCAGTCAGGGGCCCCTCTGTGGAGCAGGAAAAGGGGCCTTGGGTTGGGTGGGCATCGTGGAGGGTGGCCATCAGGACCCTGGCTGACCCATGCCGCCTCCCTGATGCAGATCTACATGCACCTGCGCTGCTACAGCTGTCCCAACGAGCAGCGCTACATCGTACGTATCCTCTTCATCGTCCCCATCTACGCCTTCGACTCCTGGCTCAGCCTCCTCTTCTTCACCAATGACCAGTACTATGTGTACTTTGGCACCGTGCGTGACTGCTACGAGGGTGAGCAGGGGACGGGGGGGTCCTGAGGGAGGTTGTCCCACTGGTCTGTGGCATCTGAAAGGTTGGCTGTACACGCCTCCCTCTGGTGTCTGTGAACTGGAAAGCCCTCTGCCTGTATTCTTTCTGGTGGCCTCTCAGCCTCACAGAGGCTGCTCTGACCCACCCCTCACATCATGATCCACTTTACAGTTTCCATCCAGGTGCTGACTGACAGGTAGCAACAGCACACCTCCAGCCAGAGTTGCCCCTTACAGATACGTTTTGTGTTTTGGAATCCCAGACACCTTCACAGATACTAGGGGGCTGAGACCTCTTCCTGTGTCTGATTTCTCTTTTATGGCACCTCTGATGGGGGAAGGAGTGACACATTAGTGGTTTATTTATAGATAGAAAGTCCAAGTCCAAGCAGTGAGGGATTTCTCCAGGGACCTGGGGCAAGTTGGTGGTGGGTGGGCCTCCACTCCCAGGTGTCTTCATTCTGAGGGCTGAGGGCCTCTCAGTCCTTGTGCTCATGTGGAGTGCTAGGGTTGGGGACCCACAAAGTGGATAAGCCAGTCTGCGTCGTTCCTGTGCTGACCCCCTAAGTAGCCGCCCCCCCCGCCCAGGAGAACAGCTTCCTGATCTATGCACAGGTTAAAGGAGACGGACATAGTGCACCTGTGACTTCAAGAATGAGTCAGCAGTGGTCAGTGGACATTGGGGACGAGCGTTTGTTCTGGGCAGGAGTGTTAACATGCAGGGTCAGAGGGACCAACAGGTCTTGCAGAGGGGAACGCTAGGTGGGTGGCCAGCCTGGGGAGGGGCCGTTGACTGAGAGGAGATTCCAGCTGGGAGCAGGGATGGGGAACTAGCAGTCTGGCAGGCCAGAGAGAAATTTACTTTTTTAATGTTGATGCACAAAAATCGGAGGTGAGTGGAAATCACACCCTGCTTCATGTGGAGAGTGGGCAACGAAGGAGCGGCCAGGTCAGAGGCCCACAGGCATGAAGAGAGGGGTCCTTGAAAATGTCTCCCAGAATCACTCTTCACATAGCTTAAGACTCTGCTCCAGTGTCCCCCTCAGTCTCAGGAACTCTGTGTTCCCCCCCCCCATTCCAGTGACCCCTCAGTCTCCTGAGCTCTGTGTCCCTCAACTCTAGTGCCCACTTAGTCTCCTGAGCTCTGTGTCTCCCCACTCCAACACCCCCCTCAGGCTTGTAAGGTCTGTGTCCCCCACTCTGGTGTACCTCTCCCCCCATTCCCCAGGCTTGTTAACACTGTGGCCTCCCATGCCAGTACCCACCCCTCAAACCTCCTGTGTTCCATGTCCTCTCAGACCTAGTTTGGGATGAAGTGACCAGATGTGCTTTTCCTCTGCTGAGCAGCCAGTAGGTATCCTCTTCCCTGACCCAGGGGGCTCCCCGTCCCTGGATTCCACACTTGTCTGGTGCAGAATGCTTATCCCCGGAGACACCCCAGCCTCTCTTCCTCTCACCCTTGGACTCCCAGACACAGGACATGCCTCGCATTGGGGAAGATGTGGGGGCCGAATTACGACTGACTTGGGTCCTGCCTGCTTCGCCCTCCGCTGCACCCCCCTGGCTGCCTGTACCTGGCATGTCTGGTGTTTCCCAGCCTCAGACCTTTGCAGGTATCCCAGTGCCCAGGACGCTTAGCTTCTGTCCTTTGGCTCCCAGCATGAGTGCACATCTCACGCAGCTATGCACGCATGCAGCTACGTACCTGCAGTGCACACACTGTGTGCTTGCTATGTTTCGTTTCTTTCTCCCCAAGTTGGCAGAGCCGTTTGATTGGATCTGGGGCTTTAGTAAATATCTGCTGTGTGCCTTGCATTTGTCCCTGCAGGCCTCATTACCCGTCCACCCCCCCACCCCCCCACCGCAGGCCACCATCCTCTTAGCCAGCAGGGTTAGGACCAAGTGGATCAGAACCACTGTCTGATGCTCTTGGTGGGATTGGGTAGCAGAGACGCTGAGAATCCTTTCCAGTCAGTTGCCAGCCTTGCCTGGGCCCCTCAAAGCACTGCTGCTCGTACCTCAGTCCTTCAGGAGACAAGAGCTGCTCCCTGCTGAGGGGGCCTCTCCTGGACCAGGGGCAGTTGTCCCCTTCTTCTCTTTTGGCCCCGGGACTGGGGATCATAGCAGAAGGGACTCAGGGCACTCCTTTCCAGAACCTGTTTGTTCAGATACTGTCCCAACCTTCCAGCCTGCACACAAAGGCTCTCAAAGGAAGCCAGCTGTCCCATAAAGCACATCTCCTAGCAACACTGTCGTCCTCTCACCTCCAGCCTCTGGTGTAAGTGGGGTTTACAAACAGCACAACAGTTTGGGATGCTCCAGAGTACTCCAGATTTTGGGGTCTGCTCAGGGGGCTTTGTGTCCATGGACTTGGCCCTGCCTGACCTGTTCTAGCCCCTCTGTTCTGTGTCTTAGACCCTACCTGCTGTTCTTTTATCTGGCCATGCCAGACAGCTAGCTGCTCATGAGAGTGGCTCCTTTGGAACTGGTGTGGAGTGTGTCCCCATAACCTAAAAAGAAGGGAGTACCAGCCCCAGAGAAGGAGATGGGATGGGATGGGCCGAAGGGCTCATGTCCCACTTCCACCAACCTATACCAGAGGGCAACTCAAAGCCAGGCTTCTTTCGAACAAAATTATGTTCAGTAAATAAGCTAAAAGTTTACTTTTACTCACACACACAGTCCAAACACAAAATTGTCCTGGCTTCTCCCTGCTCCCCAGTTCACTGCTCAGAGGCAATTGCTGCTAGTTCTTTTCTTTCAGCTTCCCCGCCCCCCTGAAATTATCTAGGTGTATAAAACATTTTTCAAAAGTCTTACACTGTTGTTCCTTAATTTTTCCATTTTGCTATTAGGTGCTGTTGAGTTGCTTCCACTCACAGTCATTGTATGTACAGCACGGAACAAAACCCTTCCACTTCCTCACAGTTTGTACCTTTGACACCATTGCTGCGGTCACTGTGCCAGTCTATCTCATTGGGGGTCTTCCTTTGTTTCGCAGACCCTCCACTTTGCCAAACATAATGTCCTTCCCCAGGGACTGGTCCCACCTGATGACATGTCCAAAGTATGAGAGACAAAGTCTGGCCATCCTGGCGCCTAAGGAGCATTTGGGCTGTACTTCTTCCAACACAGATTTGTCTGTGATCATTTCTGTATTCACCGTCATTCAGAGGCATCATGTGAATAGAGACTTCCTACTTTAGAAGGTTTTGATTTAGGTTCAGGTGTATGTTGCTTAACTTGCATCTGACTGCATATGCATCCGCAGGCTGGCCAGGGCCTCCAGGTGTCTGAGTACGAGGACCCCAGACCCTCATTATGAGGTCGGAACCCCGCTTTACCTGGCTGCAGCATGGAGGCATAGGCCCAGACTCCCAGCTTCAGTCCCCCTGGGCCTCTGCGACTTGCCAGGTCTGGTCCTTGCATTTGCCCGGTGTGGTCACATAGGGCACTGGATGTCCTCGATCCACTTGGCCAGTACTGTCTTCTCCCTGGGCAGGCTCTGACGGGCGAGCTGGCCTTCCTTGTAGCTGTCTCAGCAGAGAAGTAGCTGCCCAGACCATGTGCTTGACTGTGGGCCACCTCTTCCCACCCCTCTCCTCAGTGTGCCCTGCCACACAGGTGTTTGCACAATATCCAAATCTCATGACGTCCTATTTCACAGCACGAGTCTTATTTCACAGAACCTATCATGGACCTTAAGTGCCTCCTAATGGAGCCCTGGTGTGGCACTGTGAGTTAATGCGCCAGACTGCAAAGCCGTTTGAACTGAAAGGTTGGCAGTTCAAGCTCACCAGCTGCTCCATGGAAACCCTATACAGGGTTGCTATGGGTCGAAACTGACTCGACGGCACTAAACAACAACTGTATTTTACACATACACACACGTTTCTCTCGTCCTCATTATTTCAGTGTTCTCTCACACTTGTTTCTGAGTCTGTATTCAGCCTTTACATAATTCTATCTGTATTGTTCAAAGCTTATTCTTATAGTATCCTATAAGACCCTATATATTTCCTTTTCCTTTTTTTTGGTAAACTTTTTATTGTGAATTGAGTGAAAGTTTCTAGACAAGATCATCCGTTTTACTTTCAATAAGTCGTACTTTATTTCATGTCAATGATTGCAGTCCCCTCCACATAACAATTGTCCCACTTCCCTCCCTGTGGTTGTTGTTGTTATGTGCCGTGGAGTCGGTTCTGACTCCTAGCGACCCTGTACAGGGTTTCCGAGGCTGTAAATCTTCAGAACGTCTCATCTTTCTCCCGTGGAACAGCTGGTAGTTTCGAACTGCCAACCTTGAGATTCACAGCCCAATTCATAATCACTACATTGTACAAATATCCTTCAAACTCTTTGTGGAATCTATAAATATGTATTTATCCACTCTTCATCTCATACCCATTCAGCCTGTGTCTGTGTCCATGTATCTATGCACAGAACACTGCTGTCTCAAGGTTGTGTATTCACGATTCACCTCTGTCCCCTTTAGTCCTTGCATACCTCCCTGTGTCTTCACCC